GGATGACCGATGGAAACACTGCTGTTGTGACTCTGGCGCTGATGCTACGTGGACAAAGGCGATCCAATTATCGATCCGCGGCTTTCGGAGGGTTGGTGAAGAAGGCAAAAGTGGTCGATACACCATGAAGCGTAGACTGATTGTTGTAAAGTGACCCCGTGTGGCATATGTGGTGGTCTTGCACAGTTGCTAAACTGGAACTGGCTCCGCCTCCTACACTCTGACTAACAATACTAAGGTGAAGGAGGGAGGGAAATGCGTTCGTGGTAGCAAGAACCCTTTGCTATCTGCCGGCAATCTCAGGTGCGCGTGGGACGTTGATTTATGAGGGAAATTAGGCTATTTGTATTGATTACGGCTCAGCATTTTCCAAGCTTGGGCCGTCTTAACTTCCGATGATAATGAAAAATACCAACAGAGTGGTTCATGCAAGGAGAAAACAGCAGCCTTGCTCGCTGCAGATGCTGGAGCGCTTCGGAAGAGATGGATTAGGCAGTGACAACCACTTGTTCTCGCTTACCACTTTAACAATTGGTGGAAACAAGTGCCTCCGAGCCGAACCCAGCTTTCCTAACCCGCCCCAGCCACCGTAGCGAACAGGATAAGAACACTGACTTGTAAATCGGTTAGCCTCATAAGTAATTGTATGGACCATATCGCGTTCAACAAGTCACGACGATTCTGAATGGAAGTACAATGCTTGCTGTACCTTGAAAAACATTGATCATCGGCGAAGGCTTTTTAAGCTTTATGACCTGGGAAGAGCGGTGTAAGGAGCTAAGAACGAAAACTGGGTCCAATTGCCGAGCGAAATTGCCCCTTTCAAAGGAAGCCTTCACTTGGCCGAGATCAGGAAAGGAACCAGAATTGGCAACATTTTGAGGACGCTTTGAGGAATCACCGCTTTGTCGATTTTCATGGTGTTTTATCAGCAGGATTCCTTCCTTTACAGATGGATACTGCAGCCAGATGTTTTTAGCCGATTACAAACTAACGACAACTGGAAGTGGCTCTATCAAATGGAATGTAACTTGCAAAATTAGGTGGCTCGAACTTGCAGTCTATGCTGATTGCATGGGCGGAGACAGGTCTCACCATTGTGACTCCCTCATTGGTTCACCCATACTGTTTGCATCTTGCAAAGGGGGACGCAGAATCGAATAAGCACGAAGGTAAAACCAACCCCGCCCACATGAATAGCGCGGGCTGCCCCATCTGGTAATCTAAGACTGCATCTTACGATGGAGTTTGCAACAAGAAGTGGGAGTTTTGAAGGGTTAGGCCAATGAGTGCTATCGCTTCGCGTTTTTTGAAGTACGGAGTAACGTTACTTGCGCGAAGTAACAGTACGGAGTACAGTATATGTAGAGTAGTAAGTAGTAGGAGTAGAAGTACGGAGTACGAAGTAAGCTCCTATCCCAGTTAGAGTTTCCTCACCCAGGTGGTATTACCTCCATTACCCACAATAGGTTATTTGGTCAGCCATCAGGACTTAATATGGATCTTTTCAGGACTCTGCGCAATGCCACGCTTCTGAATTCCATTTAGGATTGTGAACATTTCACCGCTTCCATCCTTCCAGATCAAGTCTGGGGCACTGTTCGGCACGGAGGGGGAGCGGTATTTCGCCTTTTTCTGGTTTCTGGTGCTAGTTTCTGTTGAATTACAGGTCTCACCTTGGTCCCACCAGCAGCATGCTTTTGTCATGCGTAAACAGAGCTCCTGTTACTGCACAGGTTTACAGGAGTTTCCCGGCCCACACGAGACACTGGAAGTGATTTATGAGAACCAGCAAAACGCCCCCACCAAACCGAACTGTGTCAAAGCAGTGGTACACCCATCCGTCACAAGAAGCTAGTAGCCCTGTCTAGAGTGGGCAAACTCTCATCCCTCAACCGAGTGATAGCAATGTCCGCTGTCGCTGGCCCTTTTCGAAACTTCGGAAAAGCCCCGCCCAGTCACGAAGGGCATTATACCATTTTATTACACAATCTGTACAGTATTACCTGGACTTGCGTACAGTGTATAGCATCGGAATAAAGTGGAGTGCCAATATGCCCCACCACTCACATTTACTCAACCCCTTACCACTTTCTTCAAACTCCTACCAGTTTTTAAAAGACTTGAAAGGTATTTTCCCCACCCCACCCCACTCCCAAAAAAATGGTGTCGAGCAAGGTGTGGGGGAGATGTGCAGAGGCGCCTGAAACGGCAAAGTCAACCAATGGAAAAAAAATACGTCGCAGCAGTGAAAAATCCCCCCTCCCTTCTAAACGGACCCTGTTCTTTAGCGAAAATTACGAGCCCCCCCTCAACCCTCCCGCCCCTCACCCCCAGTGAACTTCCCAACGTTTGCTGTACTCATTGCTTGCACCGAGACCTTACTGCATGTGCTCTGACTTTTTTATAATGTACATAGTAGCAATACAGTCAGCAAACGCCAAAATCATCAACAAAGTTATGAAAGTGAACAATTAAGGTATATTGCTATAAATAATGTTTACTGGCAAGACCTTTCCGCGATATGACCGCATGTGGGGTAAGGTGGCGGAGCCTCACAGCCATTACACATTCCTCATTGGTGTGCCATTTCCGGTACTGTGAAAAGGATTAGTACGCCAGTAAGCAAAGCAAAATGGTCGACGTCTCTCGGCCCCGCCCATCGGTTACCGCGAAATAAATTTTCTGATACACAAAAAGACGGTTCACAAAGACGAAAAGGCAACAAATCAGAGATCACTGATTTGATCCGTTTTGCACTATGTGAAAATTTAGAGTTCATCCTTCTTGATCAGCTTCTCCAGAATGATATCAAAGACGAGTTGGCTTTGCCGGGGATCTGGGGAAGTCGTCCTTCGTCACCATAACCTGAGAAAACTCGATTACTAAGTAGCCAGTTCCCATTAGGAACAACTTGTTTGTCTACCGTAATCGGATGGAATAACAACATGGCGACGTTCTCCTTCACACATGTCCGTCATGGCGATATCCATTCCCTTGATGACTTTCTGAAGAAGAAGAAGATCAAGGCGAGGGTTATATTCGAGCCCACAGTTATGGCACCTCTACGAGGTATAGGTAAAGACTTACTCCTTGTTCAGCTGGAAGATGAAGGGCTTGTTGCGTGAGAAGGACGAATCGACGAAAGTACCGTTCTCAAGGTGGAGCTCGTACTGTTGGTGGATGGTGTCACCGGTTTCCGACTTGCGGCATTTGTCCTCGTCAATCTTGTGCGTCACCTGAATGAAAAGGTCACTTAGCTTTGGGATTAGCTTTGGCTTGAACGCTTCGATCCGTTCACGTGAGGCCCTTACTGCCAAAGAAATGATAGTGTGTTGGAGGATGTGAAGCCCGGCTTAAGCTTGAAGGAGGGCACTGTGAGGACGAGCTCACGATAATCTGATGGGTAGAGGCCTAGACCATTGGACGGTCTTTATTGATGCTTCAAGTACCATAGAGAAGTATCAGGGAAGCAGAATACACAGGTGGAAATCTTGCTTGTTACGGTGCTGTGGCGCGACAGGGGGCCGGGTTCGATGCGGCGCCAGCACGTTTTCCACCAATTGTTATCGCTTTCATCTTTCAACAACTGCAGGAGAAAGAGCCGGGCCGCACAACTGCAGGAGAAAGAGCCGGGCCGCGCCGAGTCCTGACCCCACTCCAAACCCACGTGAAATGCGCCGCATTTACTATATGGGTCTGTCTCATTGAGGAATGGTTTGAAATCAGGCTCGATCAAAGCTTCTCCAAAGTTCCAGTTGCAGGGTACTCAGCCTGAATTCACCCAGTAATCCCGGAGGTACCTCCTGATAGGGCTGCGTAGCATTTGATCCCGTTTTTAGCCGTTTGCGCAGGGTACACTAATCCTTCAAACGGGTCATTTATGAGTAGCCGTTCCCATGAAGAGATGGCTTTCTGCTAAAGGCAGGCATGGTCTTGTCCTCTCCCTGCTTAGGAGCACCCAGTACTTATATACTTCTTTTTCGGCTCTCGCAGGCCCTGTTCGACCTCAGTGAAGTTGGCGACTCGGGATGGGCATTTCGAACTTTCCCTAGTTCTTTTTTCCTAGTTCATGTTAAGTGACAGATCTCATTCAGTGGAACCTGCAAGCTCTCGTGAAGCTGCGCAATGGTTAAAGTGAGCAGCTATGGTTACAAGAGCTCCCAGATTCCTCCCAC